GATGGGGCAGCCACAGTTTCTCTGGGCGCTCTGTGCCAGCGCCTCAACACCCTCACAGGGAAGAACTTCTGCCTAAGAGCTCATCTCAATCTCCCCTCTGTCAGTTTAAAGCCATTCCCCCTTGTCCTGTCGCTACAGGCCCTTGTGAAAAACGCCCTCTTCAGATTTCTCCTATGCCCCTTTTAGGTATTGGATGGTTGCTCCAAGCCTGGAGCGTTCTCTGCTCTGTGTGAAGAAGGGAGGCAGAGTCAGATACCAAACAATCTTATTTAATAAAAGTTATCACCCAGACCTTTGGCTTTGGAGCTGACATACTCGTAGCACTAAAATAATCTCCTCCTTCCTGATGTTTGTTTTCCTAGTTTACCTGCCTCAAATGTGTGACTTCAGGCAGCTTTGTTCTGCAGCTCCCATCAGTCTTTCAGCAGCATTTTATAATGGATCCATTTTATTTTTGGTCCTTTTTAAGAAAAGATGGAAATTTTTGTGTTTTGCCAAGCTCCACCTTTTCTGTCCTGTGGCCTGTCCCTTTGTAAGTCAGATCAGTTTTGTCATCTTCTCCCTTCTGCTTTTCCTTTTTGATTCCCATCCCACACAGTGGTGGCTCCTGTCGAGGCCGGTTAGGCAGAGGCTGAAAGGAGAAGAAGTCTGTGCCAGGAACTGGAGGGTGGAAGGAGCCTTTGGAGAGGGCAGAGACAGGGATATTCTGCTGCTGCCCACTGGACCATATGAAGATGTGCCGGAGTTGCCCTGTTGCTACTTACACCTTCCTGTTGGCTTATAAATCCTGGAGGAGAAGAACCAGAATACAGAATAACATGTTTGTTCTCCAGTGTGGTTTGTGTCTTGGGTGTGTGCTGTCTGTAAATGTGAAGGTATGTTGAGAAGGCTGCAAGCTGTCAAGCCTCAGGAATGGGTTTGCTTTCTTCATCCCAATGTCTTGCTAGAAAACAATTTCCTTTGCTCCTTTTTGCCTCATTAGCTTGTGTGCTAACCTTTTTATTTTGGACTCTGTCATGAAGATGTTGATAGCTCCAGCACGTCTCTCTTTGCTGTTATGTCTGCGTGATAACACTGCGTTGTGTTTTCCCTCTTTACACCTTCAATGTTCTTCCTGTCCACGCTCCCTGGATTTCAGTGCTTTCTCTTTGATGCGATCCTTGTTTCTGACAGTTGCCCCTGGTATGTGCAAGTGTCTCATCTTCTCCTGGGTTGCAGCATGACCCAGACAGTCTTGTTCTTCTAATTGTCTCTGTGCTGCTGTGGGCCTCTCGTTTTCATCTCCGGTTGATACACAGACTGGTTCTGGCATCCTGTGTGCTTCCCCTGTTATTTTTCAGTCTCTCTGAGGTGGTAACTTGACTGTTGAAAGGATGGAATGATTAAGATAATGTTTTATGGATCACTGGGGGGAAAAAAACCCGAAACCCTATCAGCTGCTTTTGTAATTTCTGAAGGAGATTATTAAAATGTATCTCATGGCTTCAGTATTCTCTCTCTGCAGTCATTGTTCTCAGCCTTTCAAAGAACATTCTGGAAAATGAAGTTTTATCATTAAGATTACATTAAAGTGGATTACAGAAAGGAAGAGCAAAGTGTGAAGAGTCTCAGCGGCTCAGAACAGAAAGATGTTGGCATCTCATTCTCAGGGATGGGGAACGAGGAACATTAATAGGCTGATAAACAGAAATGACTTTTTCTCTTGAAGGTTTAAAAGGTTTACTTTGAACTTGCAGAGATTTAAAAAGTGCCACTTCTCTGAGCTTAGGGTGGATGGAGAACTTTGGGCCTACTCCCTTTTTATTTAACACTTGTTTGGAGGGAGCAGTTCCTTTGGAAAAGCCATAGATGTCATCACTGGGGAAGAAGAGGGCCCGCATCTCACCTGAACCTGTTTGCTGCTGGGCACCTGCTTTCCCATTCTGGTTTGTGTTAATAGGGAATGTAACTTTCTGTTTGGGTTTTTTCTTACATAGCCAGTGTATGTGGTGTTTGGTGCAGTTTCTGAACGAATTACCAATCTCTCCTAAGAGAGAAAGAAAGGATCTCAATATGTGGAGAGTCATAAGGAAGTTGAATTTCACGCTTCCCGTAGCAAGGGAGCCTATGCTAACAGAGTCAGTTCAGAGGGTCTGAGTGTTGTCTCTGCTTTCATAGACATCTCTGGCATTTAAACTTCATGTACATTAACATCACATTTGATGTGAGGCTGAAATATCTACAGATGGTGATGTTCTTTCCAAACACCATGCAATGGCTGAGGAAATTGCCCATTTGTCTGTCTTTGCTCAACTTTTCTCATGTTTTAAAATAGTCATTTCCCAAACTGGTTTCAGAGGTGTGTATCTGAGTATTTTTCATTATTTCAAGATGAAACCTAGCACCTATCTCATTTTTCTTTATGAATGTCAACTCAGTCATCATCCATCATCATTTACAGAAATAGGGCACAATATTGGGAGATTGGGGGAAAAAAGATTTCTCTATTGTCCTATCAAATCTTTTGCAATAATCAAATGTGAGAGTCTGCCTGTTTTGTAGTACTTAATCTTATGTTTGCGTTTCTTCTTCTTCTGTTCTGACTTTAATCAGGACTAAGTTTATTTGATAGAGCAAATAATGTTTGCAGTAGGGTTTCTGTAGCGGGATTTAATTTGTTATAACACAGTTGATGAGGTTTTTGTACTTGTATTTACCCTGTGCATAGAAAAGATTGAGCAAACCTTAATGACTGTTAAGACAGTAGCTGGGGTTACCTGCTCTCAGCCACCCGTTCTGCCCTGCATTGGAGGTTGACCTGCTGCAAACTTGATAGGCTGGCACTTAGCCATGAGCACTGTCTTAGTACAAGCTTAGCAAAGTCTGGTTTAATACAAACCCTGTGGAAAGGAGGGTAAGTGCTTTAAGCCTAGGATTTTGAGAGGCACGGTGCAGTGAATCTTCCCATTACATATTAAGGTGTTGCCCAAATTGTGTCCATCAACTGTAAGTTACTGTCAGCCTAAATTGCCCTTGGAGGGGTGTTTAAGGTGTAGGATGCTGTACTGTGAACTGAGGGACCAAGGTGTGAGCATGGGTTGGTTTGCTATACAGAAGGATGGGCTGCAGAGCAAGCAATTTAGCAGCTGCAACTTCTGAATGATGTGTGGTTTGTTCACTGCAAGTGATCACTTCCTGAGTGATGCATATGTGCTTGTAACATTTGACATCTTGGCTGTACCACCAAATTTTGTCCCGTATTTCAGAGATGCCAGGGCTCAGCCTGCTCGTGGTCATTTTTTGGGTGTTGGCTTCTAGGATAGCTTTTAATATGGATTTATTTAGTGGAATCTGATAAGAATTGATTCTCTGCTTTATCCTGTGGAATTCTTGCATTGCTCAATCAGAGAAAGACGAATGTTTCTAGCAAGTATCCATGAGACTAAGCTTGAGATACTTGCTGAGAGTAGGATGGGAAAGGAACGTCCAGTGCAGGTCTGGTGCCACTTCATGTTCCATTACCATAGATACGACTCTTGAGCACAGGTTCCCTTTTTAACTGATTAATTAAAACAGAGCCAAGGAAGTAATGGTGCCCTGGTAATGAAATTATCCATTTTCAAATGCAGATTTGAAGCCCTCTTGATGAACTTTCTCACCTGAATGCAACAACGAAGAGACTATTTCATAGTCCCTGATTATTAAATTGGTCTGTGAATGGTTCCAAATCAAACTGGAGCTTTAAACAGGCTCCTAATTCATCCAGTGTTTTAAAATGCATATTTTTCTTCAAGGGGGGTGGGATTTCGAGGTATGAATTCCTACATAAATTTCCCAAGAAGTATGATCTGGTGACCTGGCAGTGCAGGATGTACTTGATTTATGCTGAGAGTGTCTTTTAAAGCAGAGTTCCCTTTTGGATCTATCTCCACAGTACCTTACAATGGTGCTAGTTTATGTAAAAGCATTTGGACTTATTTTCTTTTAATTGTAATGAAAAGAATACCCCTCTGAAGCACTCAGCAATTTTCCAGTCTTGTTTTTAGCATCAGAGCAACAAAGATCTGTTACTGAGTAAGGTAAAGATGTTGCTTTTGATCTTTCTCACTTGCTTGAGGGTTTTTGACTCGTGTGCAATGCTTTTCTTCATGTCCTGCTCCCACTTTAAATACTTAAAGGTAGCGCAGGCTTGGTTGAACTTGTCCTGCTAAACTTATGATGAATCAATGCTTAACAATCCCTAGAATGATTTCACTCTTACTTTGGTATTGATCAAGTGCTTTGCTAGCATCTTTGATCTGTGAGGAGCTGCTTGGTGCATGCCTTGGAGCAGCTCCATGAGTGTTGCAGCAGCAGACCAAGTGTCTGAAGGGCACACATGAAGAACACCTCCAGGAATACATGGATAATTGTGCATCACCACATCATGCTGCACAGAGGGCTGGGAAGAGGAGGGACCAAGCTCTTCTGCCTTAGTTGAGTCATGCCCACATTGCAAAAGAAGTGCTAATCACTAGGCCTCAGAAGGCATTTCTCTTCCAATAGAGGTTGCTGGCAAGCGCAGTGTGCAGGTGGTGGCTATAGTTACTTGCTGAGTATTGTCTATCTGTCAAAGCAGATCATATTAAACCTCAGTTTTACTTCTACTTCGTTAGGAAAAGATTAAAAGATACAGTAGGACCCAAGACTGTGCCTTATTTGTTGGAAATGAGGCATCTTCTCAAAGGCAAACGGGCTGATTTTGAAAGAGATCTGGAATTACTTAAATGCTTTGTATATGTGAGGTTCCAGTAATTGTCTTGTGTTGAACAAGAAGGCTGTCACTGGGATGGTTTTTCTCTCCTATCTTTTTCTAAGAACAGCTGATAATGAGACTGCAGCTACTCAGTTTCCAGTGGCACAGCCATGAGATGAAATGGCACCAGCACCAGTGTCCTGGTATCATGGTGATGTTTCTCCTCTCATTTGTCTGACTAAGAGGCAGCGCTGAAGGTCTCACATGTCTGTATTATCTTTCTTAGTGCCCGAATACTAGAGAAGGCCCGGGTACAGCTACAGGAGGACATAATACGGATTCAGAGCCAGCTCTTGGAGGAGAAGAAGAAACGCGAGCAGCACGAAACACTGGTCAGGCGGCTGCAGAAACGTGTGCTGCTGCTCACCAAGGTGAGTTCCTGGCTAATGCTTGGAAAAGCCTTTCCTTCTTTCTTTACCCTAGGTGCAGTTCTCTCTCTTTCTTCTTTGCTCACCTCCATAACTGGTACTACAAAGTTGCCATGGGGTCTTTGCGTAGTGAGGAAGAGACATGAAACTTGCGTTTAGGACTGCGTTAGAATAAAAGTGCTAGTACATCCTAAGGCTCTGCTAGAGTTCCCCCGTCTGGGCTCATGCTGTGGTGGTGACACGGGACTTTGTCTGAGGCTTGGCATTTATGTGACGGCAGAGAATGGACTTAAATTGTCACTAGAGTGCTTTGAGCTGCTGAAGGGAATTTCTAATGGCTTTGGCTGCATCACCTCCTTTCCTAAAGAGAACAAAACGACGACACCTTGTCAACTCTTCCTGTGGAAAAACAATTTACCGAGTGTATGAGATTCGCCTTCCTCTTACACTGAAAGTCTGTTGGAATGTAATGGTGGTCACTAGACCAGTAAATTGAAAATGCGTTCTGAGGTTCTTTCTATAGGATATATCAAAGAAGTCTGCATTATCCTGTATCAGCTGTGCCGTCGTGATGAAATCCTGTGCAATAATTTTGAAGTCTGTAGAGCATTAAAAATTTTATATTCAATTCTGAGACTGCTCTTTCCCCAAAGGGAATAATAATTCTCTCTAGTTGGAATGATGGTTACTTCACTTCCCAAGAATACTCCTTCCAAAACTTCACTCTCCCTGATGTTACAAAGCTGCTCACCTCAATAAGCTTATGCATGTGCATAAGGTCAGACTCAAGCAGTTAGAGCACATGAGAGGGTATATCTGAGCAAGAGAGGAAGGAGCTGTTCTGTTGCTTGTACTTCAGGCTTTAAATTTCCAGTGTTAACTAAAGCATTTTGATCCATTTTAATTGGGCTGTACCTAATTCTGTGTAATTCCATGTCATTGCTGAGTCAAAGAAGCTGTGCTATATGATGTGGTAAGCAGGGCTTCTTGAAGCATGAAACAAATGCTTTACAAGAGGATATTCTATTAGATCTTCTGGCTGCAGAATTTGGTGCCATGGAGTGAGGAGAAAGAAATGACAGCGGTTCTTTCTGCTTCACACTGAGGTAGGCACTGCAGTAAGGGCTGAATGGACCAAACTCTCTCCATGCAAACAGAAAAGGCATCTCTTCTCCACAGTCTCTATAATACCCCCAGCAGCAGACAGCCCTCCGTGGTGTTCTAGTTTGGTACTGCCGTGGCTGGATATGACAGAGGTAGGTACAGAACCCAGTAAAAATCCTTCCTTTACAACCTTCTCAGCTCTCTGACATTGTGCTGGGCTGCTCAGCCCTGGAGGAAGTTTCTCAGATGGTTTCTAAAATATTCCCTTTGTTAACTTATTTCCAGCCCTCAGCATGTTTTGTCATAGAATATAAAATATCATTACTTTCCTTTAAGTACTGGACTGAAAGACAGCAGTACTTTGTCAGGTAACGGATTGTACCCTCATTTATTGAAAGACAGAGCTTTTGCTTTGTTTGCTGTCCTTCCCCTGAAGAGTTGGAAAGGTCCTTCATCAGACCATGGCAAATGAACTTGTGTTTTGACAGTGGAAGTTTTCACTGTGCTCAATGATTCCTCAACTGACCTGTTCTAAAACAAGAAAGACTTTGCTGTTCTCTGAACATTTATATTCCATCCAGGGAATGCGAGGGGTCCTTTGTGAACAAGTACACGCATTATGGCACTTGGGCAATCTCTCCCTGGCACTGTTTCTTCCACTGGTTGCTCTTCTCATGCAAAATCAGAAGAAGGAATTTGATTTAATTAAAAAAAGTCTGATATTGTGATTTCAAATGAGCTTGAGCAAATATATTGCCTGTCAAAAATAATTATTTCACATTGAAAGCATAGCACCTAGAATGGTATTTAATCATCTCATTAGTGGCATCAGTGGTACTGTGCGCTTCTATGTAATTTGAGAATGGAAGAGATGAACTCTCTCTGTTGAATCTTTGTCTTGTTAAATAGGACTGTGAAAATCTAATTTGGGGGAGACTATTATATATATGATTGAATTGATACTGCTTTTGATAGTGTGATTTTTGCATTTGTGTATTTTTGACCCTCTTCTAGGGCAGTGAATCTGTTTCTATATACTGAGTAAGTGAGGACTGAAAGGCATGAGATACGTTCAACAGTGTAAGTTTAACGCAGTGACAGCTATCCTCCTTTCTTTGGGCTCAGATTGTAACGTGGAAGTCTCAGGCCTTGAATATGTTTTAAAAGATCCATAGAAAATGATAAACTGTTCAGCATTTGGTAAAAGCAGTACCCAGTATTTCAGTAGTGAGCACACTCTTCAGGAGGTCCTTGCTTTACCAGCCTGATTCCTCCTCAGGCTTACTTGTATAGCTTTTATTTCTTTTTCCTCAAGATTCAAGCAATACTGTTTGGCTTTTACAGATTGCTTGTCTCACTTCATCGAATCATTGAATGGTTTGGGTTGGAAGGGACCTTAAAGCTCATCCAGTTCCAATCCCCCAGCCCAGTCCATTTTCTACTTGCCACAGTCTGGCTTGGTTGCTCTCACTTTTCCATTTCAGTGCACTTAGCTTCTCTGTCCATTGCTTGCTTCCTCACCTCGTTTGCTTCTTTTGGGCTTTCTTGACCTTACTTGGGCCTTTCCAGCTGGTTTACTGTTTGGAATGGGCACAATTGTCAATCTAGGATACTTCGGTGACTCACTACAAATCTCTCTTCTCTGGAAGACCTCAGCAGCATTCTCTAGTCTCTGATATACTAGTGCAGTGGTCCAGCCCAGTCATTTCCACCTCTGAGAGTGGGCTGGTATAGGAGCTGTATCCAGATTATTCCTGTTGACAAACTGCTGTTTAAACATATTAGTTGATTATCTCCCACATGTCCGTGTAAATCAGGACAGTACTTCAGTTTTCTGATCTATTTGTTTGCAGTGAAACGTGAGATTAGATTTGGACACCCTAAAGGTTTTCAGACGTTGATGGCTTCAAGGTATCTCCTGCAGTGTCACTCTATTCACTTAAGGTGATGAAAAAGAAATAGATGTTTCTAGGGATATATTCATTCCTTCCTTCAGAAATCCCCTTGGCTGGGTTCACTGTCTGTCGGGCTATCTTTTTCCTATGGCTTTGCTTAGAGTTTTAGGGAAATCCTTAATCTCTGCTTTATTACCCGAGGTAGTTCTGATACAGCAGTAGTAGGAGATATCTGAAATGCTGGGGAAGGAGCTAGTCCACCTCTGCCCCTTTTCCCTGTTTGATTTACTGTTGTATTGGCTTTGAATGCCATGTTTACCTACACAGCTTTGTATTTGACTTCTGTGTTGTCCTTAAGCTTGTGAGCATTTCTCTTTCTCTGAGAGCTTTGCACACAATTCCTGCTTTTTCTTTATGAAATAGACTTGTTAAGAATATGCAATTCTGCTGCTGAAAGACTAAAATTTGAATCTGTTAGGAAATCTTATATGAGATGTAGGTGTCCCATAAAAAACCCTTGGTGAAAATCCTTATGTGAGTGCAGGCAACTGATGGAGTCAGTATTTAATAGAAACAAAGCTCTGTTTGTTTCAGGAGAGCAGCTTTCAGAGGCATAAATGGACCTTATGCAGCAGAAGTGAGATTGGAGGAAAGCAATAGGGGCCCAGTGAAGGGTTCACAAAGCTGTCTGATGTCAGGGGCCTGAAGCTGGTTTGCATGGGTCCTTTTAGGGTTGTCACCTGCTCGATCAGTCCTTAGCTGTGTTCCTTACTTAGCTGCTGTTCGGGTTCAGACCTGCAGCCTCTTCTCCTGCAGTGACTCCTTAAAACACTTATTTGTCCTGTGCACGGAGCTACTGGATGTAAGTGCATGAAGCTGCAGAGTAGGAACAGCCCATAACACTTGCAGCAGATTGGACCAGACACAACACGCCCAACTTTTCTGCAGCCAGTGTGTGACCCTTCATGGGAAGCTCTTGCCCGTCTGAGTACCCCAAAACTCAAACTGTGAAGCTCAATTTCAGTTACTTCTTCCTTATTCCAAATAGAGCACAATTTGCTTCTCAAATTGTAGACTTAGTCAATGTACACTGTCCTAATTGCATCCCTTGCTCTCATATAAGGCATAAGGCAGCAAATGAATTAATCTGGTTGAGCTGGATGTTGTTGTTTTGCTGGTTTTATTTCCCTTCTGTGCGTGTGTCTGCCTTTGAGTACTCCACTGCCTGGAGAAGAGGCTGAAAAATTCCATCTTGTTTCCTGAGCTTTCCACCAGCTCGTGTGATCCGATAGGAAATCTGTTTCCATTGAGACATAATTTAGGCCATCACCATAAAAGTCGGAGATGAAACAAGTATTGATTAACCAACCCCAGCTGCCTGTTCATACCACATGTTCCTGGAGATATCTCTGCAAGAGTCAGTGCGAAGTGTGTAAGCGACTCCCGGAGCTGAGAATGGCAGAGAGGCATCAGAAATGAGACTAGGTAATTAAACTGTTCATTAAGCATGGCAGATGTAGAGTTCATGACTTGATTTGCCATCTGCTTTGTTGTGTAATCAGTAAAGATTTAAAATAATGCTGATGGTTTCTCCGTCACACTGGGTCCTGCATTATGGTTTTTCTTAGGAGGTAGATGATTTTAAAGCACAAAGAAGGATCTTAAGGTTTTGGAGGTTCAGTGAAGAAGGTGAAATAACCCTTTCCTTGGGATATATGAAAACATTAAATATTGCACTCTATTACACTCACTAGCAATAAAACCAGCCACTCTGGCAAAGAGATGCCTTGCAACAAACCACCTTTTGGGTGTTGTACCCCGTGCTCTGTGTCCAGGTAGCACACACAGTGTTGGGGCAAAACTCTATGTTATGAGGACTACCAGGTGCTTTTCGCTGGCTGTTATGATGCGATGCTTCTCCCTTCCTTCAGTCCACTTCATGACTGTATCATTTAAGCAGCACCATTACTCGTGCATCACCAGCTGTGCTGCCACTCCATGTGC